ATATGCGTGAATATATGTACGCGCGTGTGTGTGTGAGTGAGTGTGCGCGCGTGGTCAAATTCTTATGTATTTTTTATCGTCTTTTGTTATATACATATTTTTATATATTTATATATTCATGCTTTAGATAATAAAATTTCATTACTCTTCCAATGGTTTGAATTATAACGGCTGATATGTGTCGATAAAAAAAAAAAATAATCGTACGACATAGTAATTTACTTTCTTTTCTACAGACATATATTCTACAAATTAACATAATATATTACTATTACTATTATTATTATTATTATTATTATTATTATTATTATTATTATTATTATTATTATTATTATTATTATTATTACTATTATTATTATTATTGTATACATATGAAATAAATTGTTGCATTCCAAGTGCCATTGATTTATTGCCGATTGCAACCCAATGCCAATTCGAAACTTTCCAGCTGCAACGTCGTATACGCATGAATGGGTTATGAACTTTTGACACCCTTAAACATTTCATCAATTTCGTAAAAATAACTAATATTTTTTTATCACAATTACCGAGTTCGTTTAATTTTAGTTGCTTAAAATAAATACGTGTAATTTATTACAAAATGCATAAGCAAAGCAATTTATAATTCCTAATTCGTATTCGAAATAATTTATAAAAATCTTAATAAATTTCAAAGGCATATTGAAATTTAATAACCAATGAATTATAAAATTAAAAATTTTAAAATCTGAAACCATATAACTTAATTTTGTTTTTTTTTAATTTTGTTACAACGCAATTTTATGTTATTTGCATATAACTCAGTTTCATTTGCTGTTATTTGTAGTGAATTAGTTAATAACAATTAATACTTACCTAATACACATATTATGTTTTTCGTTATTCCAAATGATATGTCACTAAATGTACATCTAATTGTTATAATTTTAATTTACCGTTAATGTCGAATTAATTGAAAAATAATATTTCTAAACAAATTCAAATTAACGGAGAATGAAAAATATTTTTATTTTACAGATTTAGATATTCTTTAATATATACTCTAATATATATTAATCAATAAATTATAAAATATTAATAATAAATTTGTTGTTAAAGCTACTCAGGCAGAAAACGTAATAAAATTTATTTCACCACATTAGAAATAGATGTAAAAATATGCTTAAATTAAATAATAATCAATGTTATATCAACATCAAGAATTCGTTAAGATAATTAATTTTTGCATAAAACTTCATTATATAAAATAATTGGTAATTTTCAAAGAAAGTCTTTGTTACTAAATTTTTCAAAATATATGTTGGTTTTCATATAAATTAGGTAATTACTTAGCATTTGATGAATGCGTTAAATCAATCATTTTCTTGGCAATGATGATGTTCGAGGGACCTCTAATATTTATTTATAATCATACGTAAGTTACTGTACTTAAAAAATTATTACAACATAGTGTAATACCTAATGGCATAAATAATGACCTACCTTAATAATATTATTTATTTGTTATATATCATTTATTATTTTATTTATTAATATTAATAATATTATTATGTATGCGTAGTATGGGTTTCCCGTATTTTTTCATGAAACTTCGTGTTAATAGAGATTACTTGAGTCGAGTAAGGAGTGTTAATAAAAAAAAGTAATGGAGTAAAATAATAAGATCTTTATTATGTGCCACTTTGATGCTTACACTCATTGACATATTTGTCGATGAAAAGCTTTTCTTACAATTTTCTCACTCTTTTGAAACTCTTTAAACAGCCACTGATGTACTCTTGCAATTTTCAAATGATTTTTAATCGAAACTATCCACTTGCAAATATTCAAGCTTGGGGTTTCTATAACGCGGTGAGTGATGTTGCAACATCATTCGTAAAAATTTATATATTCTCTCGTGCATTTGTCAAGATAAATTCAGCATTCGGACTATAATGCAGCACTCAGCTTGCATTATATATTTTTAAAATTAATATTTTGTTGTGTATATATACTTTTATAAGATTTTTTATCTAAGACATTGTTCTTATTGTAATGTAAAGTTTACGGATGAAATTCCAAATGGACATAAATTGAGAATAATAGAAATAGAATAATAATAGAAGAGGAACGTTCATTAAGAAAACTGTATTCGGTTCACATGAAGAAAACACTGTGTATTTCATTATTCGAGTTCACATCCTCGCTTTTGCCTTCCGCACAAGTCTAAATTATTTATTTGAATGACTTAGGAGTCGCTTCGCTTACTCCGTCGTATAACGTAAAGCTGACAATCGGAATGTCTAAGGAATAAAGGAGAAGTTTATAACTTAATATCATTTTGTCGTAACTCTCGGCACAAATGAATGGAGAAATCTAATTGTCCCCTTTCTTTGCTCGCTAACATAAGGTGAGGACGTCTAAATATCATAAGATGGTCCCCTGGGATGTCGAAGAACGCGTATAACTGACAAACTTCTAATGTAACTCATCGTTGTATTTAAAACAGTGAGGAAGAAAGAGAGTTGAAAAGAGAAAAAGCATTACGTTTTATTAGTAACGGGCTACTTTTGTCTCACTTTAGAGCTGCGCCTTTGGCGACTGATAACTCGGTACCACCTGAAATAAAAAAATTAACACGTTCACATAGGACATTTTACTATATGTAATTTATAAAATACATACGATTCGGTTGTAGTAACTGTAATTATATAATTAATGAAACAATTAACTCTACGGGATGAAGTAACCATACTTTGTAGTGATTTTGAATTGTTTATTTCGTAGTGTACGATGGTACCTAATTTTAAGTACATTAATAGCGATGTTAAAAATTTTCAACGAAATTTTCAACGATTTTTATCCTGAATAAAGTATTGAATTTATTACAAATATATTTCCATTGTCAATAATTAATTATCGATAGTGAATAAACAATTTTAATTTTAATTTATAATACTGCTCATCACTTATTATATCAATTTTATCAATCTAAATATAACAATTATTCTTTTATATTAAGGTAAATAAAATACGGGGAATTGAACGGAGCTTGCCTTACATTAATTTTTTCTTCATCGTTTTAATTTCTCTTTTTGCCGTTTGTTCATTCTTTCGTTCTTATGTATTTGCGTTTTTCTGTTTTTCTACGAAAAATAGCCAATGAAATTCGCGATTTAGCAATCGTTTGATTATTACCCCAACACATGGCATCGCAACTCACGGAGCAACAAGATGTTTTCCTTATCGTCCAATATCAGAAAAGAGCTTGTAACGTTGCTCGATCAACGCCTCGCTCGATAAATTACCTGGATGACGTTGTTCATTTCGTGGAGCGGCTCCTTGAGCACGTCATCGTCGGTGCTGTGCGATGGCTCCGTGCAGTACTCTTGTCCGCATACTTCGCAGGCCTCGAAGTCGGGCTTTATGGAGTTTCGTAGCTTCTGCGGAAAGAGAGGACGAAAGACAGATGAAGGATGGGATTGGACGTTAGGAGTAGCCGAGCTGTCGTTACGCCTAGTTTCCTAGTTTATTATTTCACGACGATGGTTTACGGCGGTGTGGCACGTGAGTAGCGTTGCCTTTTATCGCAAAAGATTATGTATTCTTATGAAAATTGCAAACACTAATTTAAATGCAAGTTGTTATTTTCTCCGAGCATTCGACTTTCATTCTAATCTATCGTAATATTCAGGAATGTAAAACAATGTTTGCTTGTATCGAGCAATGTTTACTCGTACTTTGACGGGCGCTTCGTCCGTTTTCCGTACAGTCGGTATGAATGAAAGATCAAGTTAAAAGTCTCCCGTCGTCGCTCTTGATCGTAAGCTCAAAAGGCACTGGTCGAAGGTCACTTACTTCGCTAAACGTGGCCCCGTCCCGTAAATGGCAAAGGCAGCAATGCAGACGAGGGAAAGCGATGCGATTCCCCAGCCGACGGCCTCCGCCCACCACGGGTACTTGTATTTGCCGTCCGATTTCATGTAATGTGGCGGCTCGTAATCGATCAAGCTGAATACCCATACAGCCTGCGAATGTAATAAGGAAAAAAAAAAAACAACAAAATTACCAATCATCCATTTGAAAGAAATTGTCGCTATTTGAATGTCGAATGGGCAAATCGGCTATTTGAGATTTTATTCTCGAGCCTCTGCGCGGCTAATAGTATTGAGGCGAATTTTATAATCATTGGTATCGTAAAATTCCTCCTCCGAGGCTCAAAGTATTTTCCGAATATATATATATTTAATTGACTAGCCTAAGGCAGACGTAAACCTATTTAATTACGCCTCTTTAATAATCATTCTTAAAGCCCAAGTACTTAATTAAACGAGGGGAAAATTAATTTTGTTATGACAGAGCTAATGATATGCGTATCGGTATGAGTGATGTTATGACCGAATAGAAAAAGAATCGATTAGAAGTTCAGGGACGATGATACTTGTAGAGTAAGAACTTCAGATCTACTATAAATAGAAAATGCATAATCGATTAATATAAAGTGGAGCTCGAAAAGGGTAAATAAAATTGCGTTTGAGAGGATTTTTTTTTTTTTTTAAATTTTTAATAATTATTTAAAAAACATATTATATAAAGTTAGTGAGTAAAATGATTAGGAATCAATTGTGAGATCATTGCTGATATTAATTTATTTATGCTATAACTTCACCTTACAAATATTACTCTGACATTATATAAAAATATTAAAATTCTGATTTATAGAAATTCTAATTTCAAGTTTAATACTACAAATAGGACAAATATACAAAATAGAAAATGGATATGTTTTTAATTTATGGTCATTTATAAAACATTTATAATATTTTAAACTAAAAAAAAAAAAAAATAAGAAATTGAAGCAATGGAAAATATTCATTCAATTTTCTTTCCGCACCCCATATATATTTTAAGTATTTTAATATTAATCATGAGTCATTATTGATATTATAATTGACTTCATGGAATTATACCAAATAACAAACTAATCCTAATTAAATCAAACATATTTAAATTCTTATTCTACTTAAATAGACAATTTTGAATAAATTTTAGTATAATTAAAATAGTTAAACGCTAATTTTTATATAATTTTTATATAAAATACAGCATAAATTATGATTAATATTAAATAATGATCTTATAAATTTTCTATAAAATCTATAAGAAATTAATATAACCTATAAATTTGTATTACATAACTTTATTATATTTCTCAACAACTCTAATGTTAATAAAAATTTTATATTTACTAAGCAAATAATTATTCTAGAATATATTATAATTTCAATTAATAAATTAAGTGAAATATATGTAGGTATATTAATTGTACAAGAAAATAAATAACTATTAAATAATGATAAATAAATAATAGCTTTGTTAGTAATTGAATATAATTACACTTTTACAACAAAAATTTATTAATCCAAATATTAATTGTACTTATATAATATATTTTAAAATAAAAAATCCAACTTGTTATATCATTTTCTTCCATCTACAATATTTTATATTAATTGTTTAATGTTATAGACATTATTGACGTAATATTATGAACGGATATTTTTATAAAATTGAAAACTTATATATTTTCTTCTATTTAAATATCTATGTGCATGTAAAACTTCTCATACATACATTTATGTAAATAAATACTCGTTATATATATATATATATATATATATATGTAAATATAATATAGTTATATATACTTAAGAAATTAGAAATCAATACTATTTAGCTTATATACAATAAAATTTATTTCTAACTATCAAATTTCTTAATTTATTTTTACCAATAATCATAAGTACAGTCATTATTTGAGATAATTAAAATGGAGTTTAAACAATAAAAACATAATAAAAATATTTTAAAAGAATAATGTAAATAAATCATTTATATACGCACAGAAAAATTAATAAATTCATAATTGATTACTACTCAATCATCTTAAGAAATAAATTAATAGATATAAAAATAATCATACAACTTCTAGAGAATGTCAATATCAATTCCTATTTCTCAATGTGCATATGGCAAGCAAACTTGATTAGCTTTTTTAAAATTACCGAATAGTTAAAAATATTCTCTCAATAATATGAAATATATTATCAGTAATTGTAAGAAATATTCTTGCGCATTTTGCACATGAAATTTAAGTAAGAAAAACCTATGAATTAATATTTATTATAAATATAATACATAGTTCTTAATTATTTTTGAGTACTAAGAAGGTAACTTGCTTTATATTAGAAATATATAATATCATAAATTCATAAGAATAATTCCGCATAAATAAGGAATTGAACAAGAATTTAATATTAAAATACTTATAGATAATTAAAATTTCTATCAATTTCAAGTCTTGGAAATTAATGTACACGTGTATAGTATTAAAATTTTTTTAATAAAATTACAACTGTAATTATATAATTTCATAAATTTTTCATGTATAAAAATAACTAAATTATAAATAATTAACTTAACTTTTTACAAATGTAAGTATTTTTACTCGAGGTAAAAATAATGACCACATGTACAAAAAATCTGTCAGCCTTGAAGTTAATAATATTTGATGAAAAAAATTTAATGAATATTTAATGAAGTAGTATTTAGTGAATATACATTTGATTATTTGATTCCGTTATTTGGATTAACTTATAATGCTCATAAGACGCAAAATTACTCACATTCGTTTCGATTGTAAATAAATGATAAATTTCGTTATATTCGTATTTGTTTTTTTATATGACAATTAATTTGAATGTCAAGGTATTATTACATATATATGAGCATCGTCTAGTGTAATTTCATGAAAATTATTTCGAAAATTACATGTCATACAGAGTGTCACTTCTTTATCAATACCTGAATTATTAGGTTCGGAAAGTTCTTATTTCGAGTCCAATATATTATTAGCCGCATTAAAAAGTACGCACGCCTATATCGGAATCGCAATATTTTCAAATTTTGCCAAACACGAATGTGCAAAGTAAATAAGATTGAGGAAATCGCGCATTACGTTACTAGCGTTAACTGCACAGTCGGAAAAATAAAAATAGGCACGATTGAAATGCGCATCATCGATTGGCGTCTGATGATACGACAGACGCATATATTAATGAGTCTCGGTTTATTATTGTCATCTTGTGCGGTCATCGAACGTATGGTCGGCGTCGAGTACCAGAAATGCGCGTATTGTTTAGAACGAGAGGCAGGTAGACAGACAGAGATAGTAATTATAAGTTCGGCAAACGTTGTGTCATGCACAACGTTTTAATGCTTTAACACGTCGCGTACGATACGCTGAATTAGCACTCGTCATTATGTAATGTCTAATGTGCCGACAACAGCTTCCTTTATCTCTAATCAAGAACTAATTGCAGGGAGGCGAATGAATTGTTCTCCTTCTTGCGCCATGCTTGAGCCATTTTTTATTCTCTTAGCTATTAGAGGAATTCGTTTAAGAGATGTAATATTGATAATAGCATTTTTTAGGCTAATTGAGCTTATATTTTTTTGACTTTTACGTGGCTTAATAAGGTTTAATAGTATTTTTAAATAAAGACAGCTAAGGGAAGCAAAGACATCAAGCATTAGTAGTTGTAATACTTTAAAAACTTACTTATATCATCACTGGTCATTTGACGTAAATTCCGAAAATTTATAAGAATTATTCGAATATTTTGATCGAAGTAATTAAGTTTTTGCTTATTTCGATTATTTGATTATTTCTTATTTTGATATTTTACTTATTTTGATTATTTCGTTCGAATGTTTTTTTTTTAGCTCTTACTCTTCATAAAAATGCAATCGAATTTAATTATTAAAGCAATTAAATTTATTATTAACGTATTAAAAATTAATTATTACGTGCTTAATTGTTTCAATCGCTAAATAAACAATTTTTGAAAAAAATTTAATTTTAATTTTCAATCCATTGTCGGAATATATATCCTATGAAATGAAAATAGCATTTTTCAAATACTATTACATTTGACAAAGTTTTTGTCATTATGAAAATAATTCGAAAGCATTTTTATACTAAAACATTGTAAAGTTACAGCGTCATAAATCAGACGAATAAGTAACATTTTAAAAATAATTGAACATATTCAATAAATTGCTTAGCAATAATTTTAATGCTTTTGAAAAATGCAAAATGACAAAATTTATAAAAACGATTAAATTTCGGCATCTAAAAAATATCATAATAATTGGAATGAACATGAGAATGAACAACTTTATGAATTTCAATAATCATTATTATTAAACGAATATTATATTAAACAATATAATACTTGTTTTATGACTTTTACATTGACAAATAAAACAAAATTTTTATGTTAAAGTTTTAAGTTCCAACATTTTTCTATTCTACTTTACAATTCTATTTCTTTGTAATATTCTTTTTAATAAATAAAACATAACATACCATTATGAGAAGAGGAGCAGCAATTAACCAACAAAAACGAAAATATATCGACGGTACGCGTCCCGTCATTTCCTTTACATTATTGCACAATCGACGCACACCGTAAAACCACGAGATGGCGATTATTTCGAAAAATGCCAGGAACATTATGGAAATGGAGGCTGCGTAATGATCTATCAATTGGAAGAAATAAATACCACCCTGAAACAATAATAATACGAAGCTTCACTTTTTGTTTTATCATAACTTTCAATTATTCATTGTAATGAAGCAAAGAAATTGAGATGCGCCTCATTAATAAATTTAGCATTTAAACAAAAAAATCTTATATTTTTTGTATTTTCTATGTGGAATAATCAAAAGGTCTTTTATTTCTTTGTCGTATTTTATATTAAAAATTAATTTTTATGGCAATTAAGTTTTTCCAGATTTGAAGAAAAAAAAATCATTCCATTGAAATTAAATGGAAACGTCATTTTCCCGTATTCATTTATAATTGTGTATATTTGCAGATATTATCTGCAAACATTACCGAACGCCTCGACTGCGTTTACAAAAAATTTTATAACAAGACTTGCTCGAATACATATATTACTTATTTAAATAACACCCTTAATATAATAATCAATATATCATATAATAACAAAGTTTCTTTAAAGACAATTAAACACTATAATGTACGTACACATAAATTTATACTAATATACAACATATTTAAGTATACCACTAGATCAGTTTATTTTAATCAACGGCTAAATAATCGACAATTACAATAATGTTATTATTATTATTCATTGTTACTTAATACTTTTGAAAATTACAGTAAAAATATTGTAATAGTTTAGTACGTTTTTTTCTTTGTGAAATATTTGTTGATTTCTCACATCCCCCACCACCTTCTCTCTTTTATACATTCATAACTCTCATATAATCCAATTTAAGAATCAATTTTAATATTAGATGTTTAATATTACTTTAACGTAAGTGTGCAAGTTAAACGGACAAGTTTAGCTTAATATTAATTATTATTTGACTATTCCACGATAATTCTGTTCTAATTGTTCAAGGGAATTATCAAGTGATTTTTGTAGCTTTATACCTGCGTTACATTCGGCAAACCAAATAAAAAGGAGACTATACACACTAGAAGGACTAACATTTCGTGGCAGAGTAGATGCTTCTTCACCCATTTGGGAAATCCATCCTGTATCGACGTCACTACGACTTCAACAATTGCAAACTGCAACATAAAGTGAACGAACATTATTAATCGCTTATAAAACAATTTGACGACGATAAGAGAAATAAAATAGGTAAAATTAATCCTGACCTGACTGTTTAGGGACAAGCAGACCAGCATAAAGAAGAAGAGCATTGCCCACAACTGTGGCCATGGCATTTTCGCCAAAGCTTGTGGATATACGACGAAGACTAGTCCGGGTCCTTAAACGGAAGTTATACGTTATCTATAAAGCATCGGGAGAGAAGCGGATCTGTGGATAACATCGATAAAACTCGATGAGCATCGCTGTCGCCAAAACACGGATGTTAATTTCGCGCTTTTCTTTACAATTTTGTTCTTCCAATTATTTTCTCATACATTCCGACTGTGAATAAAGTATGGATTTCAGTTGGATATTTTTTTTTTTACTTTCCTTGTATTTATATCCATATTGGCCCTAATTTTAACGAGAGAATGTAAGCCGCGGGAGCTTCTTCATAATTCGCTCTTTCACTTTCATTTATCGTATTTCATTCTTATAGTTGTGTTTGCGCACGAGTCGTTACATCATTTACAATAGAGAGGACGTATCTGATCCTGATCCTGCTCGAATCATCTTTCTCGAATCCTGCACTGTACGCGTTTGCATCGGCCCCACAAAAATACAATCGCAAACTTATTTTATTCTTGTAGGTTTGTTTGTTTGTTCGATAATGATTGTCCGGAATTGTATAAGTTTCACTTTAGAAATTGTAATTCTATGCAATGATATTCAGCACTAACAAATCCGACTCCATTAACAGGCGTTTATTTACAATTATTATTACTAAGTTACAGTGGTACAGCACTTTTCTCATAAAGCCTTTTAATTATATGATTTAGCTCGATTATTTAAACACACCCTAGAGGATATTTTGAATATTATTTTGTTGATTATTATGCAAGCGAATTGGCTGACAATTAGCCGGACAACGCGTTCGTAAAAAAAAAATGTATAATATCTCGTAATGCAATGTAACAATTAGCTATACAGCACGTAATCGCGAATTTTACCAATCTACTGTACAAGCATTACATCAAACTCAAACATACCGTCACTTAGGACTTCCGGAACAGTCATATTCTGTTCAACGGCAATGTTGCCAATCGTGGCAAATGCGAATATGCCGACGAGAAGGCAGCTGCATGCATTAATTAATGAGACGGCCAGAGTGTCGATGAGAATGTTGTTGTGAAATCTATTGTAACTGGCGAAGCAGATCATCGAACCGAAGGCAATACCCACGGAATTAAATATTTGCGCTGCTGCATTAACCCAAACCTGCAAAAATACATTGAATTATATTGCTGTTTTTCATGTAAGATCACAATAATTTTTAGCTCGCAAATTACAAGGCAATCGTCGAGGCTACCGGGAAAGCCGGAGAAAGACATCACGTCAGAGTTTAGAATTTATTGTAGGCAGAGACTTTTGATGCGGATAAGGTTGACTAAAGTAAGTTTGAAACACGATACATACATTATCTATTCGTTATAACTAGTATGGCATGATAATTCCCACGTATTATGTAGTACGAGGAGAAATAAGATCTCCCGAGCAGTTAAACGTATTATTGAATTGCAGAATTTTTATACTATTATTTCTTACTTTATCGAGCACAATAACTAACTTCCTGCCGTTTATCAAATGCTTGCGCAAATTATGAATGAGGATAAAGAAAAAAAATTGAAAATAAAAAAACCAATCTTAATAAATTACATGCTTTCTGCTTATACCACTGATTAAATGGGAAAACGAGTAATTATGAACAATTTATACTTTCAGCTGGTCTAATACGTCATTAAATGATAGTGTATATTTGCTGCCGACCTCCATTGAACAACAGCTTCAGATCAGAAATATTGTGTAGAGTTTAATGAAATAATAGCGCCTCGCAAAATCAGCGACATCATGCTTTCATTATGACGAGCCTGATACTCTGAATGCAATTCGTGTAAGATATATGTAACAGAGATATTTTCACAATTGGTTGGCTTTTTTCTAATTAACGAATGTTTTTTGTAGCTCGATTAATTCATGACATCGGTAAAATAATAGTGCGATTCTTTATATAAAAAGATTCTAAGGCGATTGTTTATTTTAACAACATTTTATTTATATTAACATTCTAGTCGATTATGATCGTTGCTGGGGAAAATACCAAAAATTTCTAGTAAAATCATCGTTAAAAGTCATTTTTTCATTAAAAGAAGTATCGTTTTAGTTTATATGTGATATGGTACAATGTAGACTAGAGTTTTATAATGTAAAATTGAAATTTGATAAATAAATAAGTAATTTTTGCGAGTTAATTTGCCAACACACCTGTAGACAAATTGATTTAATTTTTCTAACTGTGCACTATTAAATATTATATTCGTACATTTCATAATTTAATAATAATATTCGTGGTGTCTTAAACTTGTTAAATTACATTTGATAATAACTGTTATTCAGAATAATAATTTTGTGCAATTACCTCAATTAATTTAATTTAAAAAAAAAACAAAAAAACAAAAAGAATAATAAAAATGAATATAAAATATAATAAAATAAATATAATTTTATTAGACCTATTACACTTATGACACGATCTTATTTATAATTTTATAAATATTCAGATATAATTGAGATTAGAAATATCATTTCACGAGGATATTGCATAAAATTCACCACTTTACGACTACAATTTTATACTATTATTACCAATGATTCTCTTACCGACAAATGTTTATTTGTTCATTCGACTAAATTATTTTTATCAAATGCAATAATAAAATCATAACTAACAATTTCAAATGAATTCAACCTAAGTACTTGTATTTATAAATTTTCTATAATATTATTACGTAATATAATTTGAACGAGGTAATTTATTATATATTTTTGCCTTATTGCATGAAGGATAAATAAATGTGTGTACGTGTGCTGTTAAATTGAGAAATAATTTTAGCATTTTTCTCATCCTTACAATATAATAATTTCTTTATTCGCAAAATATAATAATAAAGTATTGAACTGACGTATCGATGAACTTAATTATTAATTAATTCGATTAATCAAATAATCGTTTTGCAATATCATTATTACAAATGGTCGTCTGATCTTAATTTGGTATTCGCGCTCTTCGCCTTCAATTAAAGCGATGCAAGCAAAAATTATTGTAATCGTCATAGCGACTTGTGAAATGTCTGTTTTACCTTGGCATCTTTAAGTAGTTGCCATTCCGGCCGAAAGAAGAACTGCAGACCCTTATCAGCGCCTTCGAGGGTGAGGGACCGGGTGAGAAAGATGAATATTAATAGGAATGGGAGTGTTGCCGTGAGGTACCTGACGCGTGCCGATGACTTTATCGACTTCCATATGGAGAAGTAAACGATTACCCAGGCGGTTATCAGGCAGGCTGCGAGTTCCCACCTCAACATCCCCGGCTCCTCGATTCCGGAGCTTATCTGGAGCACTTTGTTACTAAACGGGGAAATAACAACAAAGTGCTCTGTTATTTATCATTGTACCATAAATTTGCGTCCCATACATCTACTGACAAAGATTAATTATTCCTTTCTTTCTCTCTTATTGCAAATTTTTGCTTTACAATAAAAAAAAAATTGGCACAAGACGAATAAGCAATGTAATTGACACGAGGTAATGCATAATGAAATATTGAGTAGCTAATGAAGAGGCGAGGGAGAGTCAAATGTGCATTGATCAACCAATAACGGACCGATAATACTTGACGAGGAGATTGGATTTTCAGGACAGTGAAATTATTCGAGGCATCGCTATTTGCACATACGTCAAGCTTGCATTGTAAGTGTTGTTTTAATCTTTACTCGAAAAACTCCGCAGATGGTATCTTGGGATGTTTCGGTCGGGTGTTGTTAGTCATAATGTCGGCCGACCAGCAGTCCGGCGAATTCCACTTGTTTCGGCATCTCGACCACGGTTGTATTGGTTTACAGCCCGTGAAGAAGTAGTATATTGCATAGGCTATTATGACGTTGTGGTAGGTGGACATCAGGAAGGATATTACAACGGATGATAGACCAGCTCCTGTGCATGCAAAAAGTAAACGGGTAATTAGGGAATTCCGTGATGCATTTTCATGCTCGTAATAGTTGCCTTACCGCGGAGACAGAAAATGTTAGCTCGACTTTTTCAATTGCCATTTTTATCGGAGAAATCGCATTCCCGTTGCTAACGGCTAAAATTCGTAACGGCTGATTTCATTTCTCTTAAATCCTCGTGAAGTATTATTAACATTAACGACGCGCTTAACGCTACACCGTGTCGAATTTCATTAAATGCTTTGTACAAAAAGATTTTATGAAAAGTACTTTCACGCATTACATTAATTATGCATCTCATCATGTTACCAACATGGCCCCAAACACTCGACCGTGATTTAACGCATTAGATCGTTAGAATATTATTTACGTTAAGCGTTGAATAGAAACGCTTGCAATAGTTCGTTATTCGCATACGTCCTAAGTAGTTGTTGATACAAGGAAGGAAATTTTGTATGAAACACAAAGCAATGACGGGGATTTAATTTCAACGATACAATAATCTTTGAAAGCTCTCTACAAGGCTCGTGCTGCAATTCAATTTAAGCGCTTAAACGCAAACATTTCACATCCCTAATAGTCAACGCCACGCTTTTCTGAAATATTACGAAGAAACGTCCCGCAAAGCGAAGAACGTAATATCACCTTTGAAGAGAGGACATATCTGCCCGAGAGCACCAATCGGCCCACGACGAGTGAATTGTCCAATACTGAGCTCCATGTAGAGTAGCGGCACCCCGCATACGATGAGTATTAAAAAGTAAGGTATTAGAAATACACCTGAAAGAGAATGAAAACGATGAGAAATATAATATTTCACGTAATATTTCATTGGAAGGGAAGGGGCAAAACATTCTCCATTGTAATTTGCCTCGGGATAAGGAGACGATGTGCGTTACCGTAATAATTTTAATATTTTTTTAGCGATAATCACAGTTTGCTTATCGCTATTAGCAGTATCGTGGAGCAACGGAGATAAAGTTTGTTTACTAATTCTGTCAGTGGCAACGATGCTATACTGTCATCGTTAGTGCCAATCAACACCTTTGGCTTCTAAATTAATTTATTACAATTAAGATTTTTTAAATACTCGACTTATTACTTTTTCTTCTTCTTTTCTTCTTCTATATACAACAGATACTAACTTAACAGTGATAAAACATCGCTGATTATTTATACTATTAATTTTTTTTATATTATAAATTATTAATAAACTCGACTTAATTAACCGAGCTTTAAATTATTTTTAAAATATCTTATATCGAGATTTAATCGTACATACACTTCTAACTGAATTCTATCGTTACGTTGACAGAACAAAGAGATATTAAATAACGATAATAAATATTTACTTTGAATATCTTAAATGCAACAATACGTCAATAAATAAAATATTTAAATTCATTCAAATACGTGACTTATTGTTTTCAAAGAGATACGTTAAGAAAACATACTTTTGTAGTGAAATAATAAGCAGATGATTTAATACAAAAATATATGATAATTCATTTTGACTACATAAAGCTTTGTAAGTAAATAACTTAGCTTTTTAAATTCGGTTATTTTCATTATGGAATGCTTTATTAACTCACCATAAAGTTATAATGGAGAAAATGTTTTTTATATATTAAAGAATTTTTGCTGCAACAAATTTAAATTATATTCATTGGAATTCTTATAGAAAGCCTTTCCAATATTCATACAAAATATTGTATATTTTTTATTAGTAATTGAATTTATTGGTAATGTTATGTCAATGTTTTTTTCGATTAGATTAATAAATATTTCATCGATTATGTTATTTTATTAATTTTCAAAGCTTTCATACACGTTCTCCTATTATTTATTATACCATAGTTATAATTGTTAGACACTGCACAATAGAATAATTGAGTTTCTCGGTCCACGCGCGCTCTTACACTTTATTTTAGTCAAGCGAATTGATTCGCTTCTCTCTCTCTCCCTCTCTCCCTCTCTCTCTCTCTCTCTCTCTCTCTCTCTCTCTCTCTCTCTCACGACAGAAGCTTCGAGTGCACTCTTCGTTTATGGAGTCGATTCCTTGACGTAACGCTTCCGTAAATTTCATCAATCAGACACGACATGTTCGCCAATTTTCATACCCAAGCGACTTGCCCTCCACTCACGAACGGCGTAACAGAATGCGCGTCAAGGTCAGCGCCCCGGTCCCGAAGGCCGGTCACTGATAAACCGGAGGACCACTCGGGCTAATCGTTATCGGGACAAGGGCGCTATTCGCGCGTGGCGAACTTGATATTACGTAGCCCTGGCCGCGAATAAGCCAGTCGGCCTTCCCGGATAAACCCTGAGATCCCGAGGTATGAAAAATCGCCGATTACGCGTCGCTCGTATCAAGTTGCGGAAACGCGGCAAGTTTGAAAAGCCAGACGACAACGTAACGGAGGACGACGGATTAATTAAACCAGGACGTCAGACTCGCTCTCGTTTTTCATTGCTCGTCCGACTTTTTACTTTGCGTTGCAGCGTCACTCCTTGGACATGGATTATTTGGTCCGCTTTAATGCAAATTTTAGAATGTAACTTGCTATCCGATATTATTATACAGGATATTATTATCGAATACAGACTAATATTTAATTATTAATAAAAAACTCTATCGAATACTTAAAAACAGTATTTACTATTAATCATATATATATATATATATATATATATATATTTATTTATTTATTTATTTAATTTCGTAATGGCTAAAAATTGAGGTTTTTTTTGCATTATATATAAGTATCGGCATTAATCACCTTGAAATCTGCAATTTATTTACATTTGCTTGTAATAAATCTTTTTATTTGTTTTTCATTCCATATTAAAAGATAAATGCGTGTCTTGTAATTATTTACTGAATAAAATTTTTACTTTATATTAGTCGATCGAGTCATTGGACAGAGTCCGCGGCGATTTCTAAATGCATGACTCGATGCATCTACAAGAAGAAATAAATTATTTATGCTCTCAATGACCAATAATTTGCAATATGTGCAAACAATATTTGTTAAGTATTACGTTCAGTTTTCATGCTTAATAAAGATAATAATTGTGTCCAGTAAAATTCTCATAAATACAAAAGAATGATTTTTTATTTGGTAACAACCGAATCGTCCTCTCCACTTCAGTCCTTCGCGCGATCAATGGTCTCGCATTAGTACGACAGTAACAATGAGATTAAAAGGAAGTTACCGAAGCAATAACGAGATAAGTTGTGATCTCACAAGTGCGTGCACACATATCATATATGGAGTTTCTCAAAGGTCATTTACAAAAGAGCCAAGCCATTAAAGGTTGCGTAATGGCGAGCAACTTGTCTGATCGAATTACAGCGGCACGTCGAGCCGAGCGAGGGAACTGTATCGTTGTATAATCTCGTGCCGGAAATTTGAATTTATCAATTATTCCTCCTGGTCAGTTGAGTAATGAAATCTCGCTCGTCTCTCTCTCTCTCTCTCTCTCTCTCTCTCTCTCTCTCGGTCTGCCTCGAGTCTGTGCGTCCAATTGTTCTCGCCTGTGACGATGAGCTTTAAATTAAACGACGTTTAAAGCTCGACACTATGTAAACAAACCCTGATTCCTTATGAGCTGCTCAGGCTCCCCTTCCCAGCTTAATCGCCAAAGAATTCTGCTTTCATTTATTGCAATAAATCCGATAAGGCATGTGGTCGTTAATAATGCTCTCACTTGCACGAGCCTCGTGTACGAATGTAAATCAAATTAACAATTGTATCGGTTATCGGACCCGTTACTCGCATTTTTCCGCATTACAGTATTACGGCATTATTCAGCTGCGCAAATTCACGTGGCGCGTGTTATAACAATTAATATGTTAATTACTTTAAAACCGATTATTTTTCAATTATTCAACGGTATATTGAATGTGTCGTGATTGAATTTTTGGGGCGCTTTTAATAATAAAATTCGACAATAATGAATACGACACGAATGGAAATGTTTTTAATGTAAACATAATGAAAATTATTCACCATGCCGGACATACATACCTTATCTCATCTCAATTAAATTATTAATTTGCCTTAGACGGTCGATTATAAATGTACGTATAAATAATATGCCATTGTTTTGTAAATAAAAAACTCACGCACTTTTATTATATATATATATATATATATATATATATAATATATATATATATCGTGTAGTATCTTTAACTTTCAGTAATATGCTTCGTTATAATTTAAAATTTATTTTTTGAAAATAACAATTTTTCGAATATATTGTTTGAAAAAAAATAGGTAACTAAAAGCACTTACGTAAATTGAATTTATAGCCGCGTTTAAAAAATCTTTATGAATAATGGCAGTTATCTCTATCGAACAATTATTATTATTCTTTTTTTTTTGTTTTTGTTGGTATTGTTTCTTTTTTAATTGTTCATATTACATTTTTTCAAATATTATAGGCTTGAATTATCTGATTCTTCTTACTAGCTATGGTAATTATTTTTACCAACGACTCTTTAAAACATTTGATAAATCTATCTGCGCGTAGTGACTGAACTATACCCTATCGTATGTACACTCGACGTCCCAATTACTTTTCATTTCCGACTAAAATCTTCTCACCGAGTCACTTTTCCGACACCTGATTTTAGTATAACGCAGCTGCCGTAGGAGATCACCTGTTCTCGCTCAGAAACCAAATTGAATGTTCGTTCGTCTTACACGAGCCACAAATAATGAAAAGTCCCATCCCCGTCCTTGACTCGTCCGTATCGTTGCAATTGCATAACGACGTTTCTGAGTGCGTGCATACACAGGGGAAATTCGAAAACTTCGGATCAAATTTTGCTTTATCTAACGTCCGCTTTTTGCAATCGTTTGTAAATGGAGAGTTAAGCGCAAAAGGAGTATTTAACATTTGCCGTTTTGTATACATTTCAATGAAAATTCTCACCACATATCTCCATTGCAAACGAATACGTTGTCCATATAGAATTCATTAATAGGAGTAAAAGCATTAATGAGGGATTATTTTTCAAAATTAATATAATAAAAATTTGTCTAGTTGAATGGCTCGATTGATTTGAAAACTAAGCTATTTCAGCTATTAAATTTAGCTGTAATTTTGATGAAAATTTGCCGCAGACGTTCCCTATTTCTGTCTTTTTAAAAATACTCAATTCTTTAATTTAACTCACGCGATCTCGTTAATATATTTATCATGGTAATATAATCTAATTGCAAATTGAAAAGCAATTGACTGAAGCTAATGTGCACAATACAGATTAAGTATTATATAGAACAATAAATAATATTCGATAATGAATAAAATGATATTCTGTTCGTGTTCATTGCAATAGAATTATATGATAATTGTTATAAAAAAACACCTGCGTGATCAGCATTTTGTGCTAACATAATTTTATTTATCCCCCTTCTGTATACCTCATTATATTTCGAGGTAAATCACGTATGTGGATATTTGAAGGTAATGTAACATCTAACAATTAATCTATTGATGATTATACCTTTTATACTAAAAGGATGTACAGTATTATGAGCCTTAAATTATCAGTGGGTCTTACTAATGGCCATTACAGCGCCTTTATAGTCACTCAACGATATGATTTTTCCCAGATGGTTATTTCATCTTTTCTATTACATTCGAATATTTATTTTGCATAATATAATTTAAATTAGAATTTTTGTAAATAGACAGTGTGGCTTTTATTAACTCACGGCTTTAATTATTTTTTCATAATTATTGATCGAATAGTTTAGAAGAAACTTATTTAGTTATAAAACTTCATAGATAAACCTAACTATTGCCAGATTTAATTTTTACAGCCCATAGTTATAAAATACAATTTGCTTATTATTGTTAATAAATTCCGCATTTAATAGAATTATTAAAGCTCGATATTTTTACAATTAACATAATATACTTTACTTGACTTAAACTATTTTGAAGATTTCCTTTCAGATAATAAAATACTTATTTTCAAGATTTTCAAGATATTAATTTATCTAAACATTGAAATAAGCAATAATGTAAATAAAATTGTTTTGACATTTAAATTTAAATATAATTTTTTTTTTTTTTAAATATTAATAGTACTTCATTTAAGTTAAAGAATTATTAAATAAGTATATAATTAAATGACTCTTAGTTGCATAAAATTGTATTTTTAATAATTATTTCTATTCATAATATTTTTGTTGTAATACGTTCAACATTTTTTAATAATTGCAATTTATATTATTGTTGAACGTTTTTATTTATATTTTAACTAAGTTTTTATAAATTGCAAATATTAAAATTCATTAAAATTATTCATAGAAAAACTTTTATATTCTAAGAGATTATAATACTATGATACTACTACTACTACACGTCAACTGAAAATATTTATATTTTAATTAACTTGAACAATATTTGATGAAATTAAAAATAAAATTAATAAGTAATTTAAGATTTTTAAAATTCTATCATTTGATAGTTGTACGCAGGTAGATTCCCCCTCTAAGTTATTCATTAAACTTTATAATACTAATAATAACAACAACACTAATAATAATAATAATAATAATAATAATAATAATAATAATAATAATAATAACAAGGTAAAAGATAATAAATAATGCATTTTCACCTCCTCCACTCTTATAACACAGATAAGGAAACCTCCAAACATTGCCAAGGCCAACAGAATAACCAATGCACGCGAGTACGAATTGCACTTTGTTTTCCCAGTGTGGCCTCCTCGGCTGGCGATACTCTCCTGGATCCTCGGCGTCGCCGTCGTCGAAACTCGTGCACGTCGAAAGGTCATCCTCTATTGGACTAAATATTGATGTTTCAATTTATTGAAATTATACCGTCGATACAATGATACATAATTATTTCATGTTTAAAAGTAAAATTTTGGATTCCATTAAAAATATCGTATCATACGAATATTTGGGTTTTCAGAATAGTTCCAAGTTTCATTGACATTAGAATAAAATAGTTATCAAATTGATAAGGCGATAAATGTACTTTATCAAACTTATTGAGATTAAGTTGAGCTTATGTTTTTAAAATTTCATTTACGATAATGTCATTTTTACTATTTACTTCGCGTAATAAAGATACTTTTACATACAATTAAATATACTATAAATTAGAATTTCAGTATTATATTCATCTCCATTAATGAATATTAATTTTTTTTTTATTTAATTTATCCAATAATGCTTTCAAAGAAATAAATGATTAAATAGTCAATAATAAATATTTCAATTTCATAAGTATATTATTTAAAAATTTAAATTAAAATATTCGCACGAATAAAGTGCCCTATTTTTATTATTAGATAATATTTAATTATTTAATAATAACAAATTCATAGTTCAAATACAAAATAAAATAGAGTGTCGAGTATGGGATAACTTTAAATTAATTAACTATTTCACGGTTAGAAAGTAATATATATATATATGTATATAATTTTATAAAATATTCATCATCGAGTATTGAAATTTATATAAAAATTGCTGATAGAATGAAAGTAAAATCGTTCTGACACGATAAATTATTTTTATTAAAAACGTTAACGCACTTCCTGCATTAGGATTGATATTGGTTCAGTGATATAATAAGGCAAACTTGAATTTTGCTATAATTTTGATTAATCATCATAATAAATCGTTATACACAAATATCTTGTATTTTAAGATAAAAGATACAATTAACCTTTCTATGGAAGTTTTACGAATTATATTCTAACTATACTAAGGTAATAGATAAATGAAATGTGTAACATTAAAATATTGAGTGACATAATTGCACGAGAATTCTCATTTATAAATTATTATTTTTCTTATTAAATGTTGAATAATTAAAGCTTCAAATCTATAAATAAAAATACAAAATTTAAAGAAGATATACATATAAGATGGATTATTAAAATTTCTGTAATATTAATTTTTTGAATCTTATTTGTCTCGATCAATTATTTTATGTTTTAGTATTAGTTTGACCATTAAAAAAAATTAAATGTTGATCACTTTTATTCTAATATGTTAAAAATGGAATACGATGATATTAAAATCTTCAAATGTAAAGTTGATTTCCAAATATATTAAGTGTTTGAAATTCTACTTTAAAAATTATATATAAAACGTTGAAAAAAAGACAAAAAAAAAAAAAAAAAAAAAACTGGCTTAATTTTCCATTGAACTAGTCTGTAACTAAAACGTTGAAATGCTTTGAAATAAAATGCTATTATTATTCTCTATAATAGTCGCAATTGGTTGAATAGAGTCTGATTATGTCGAAATAGTAAAATTTCCATGGAAAATTTCCCCTGCACACTTAATTATTCTAATATCTCTAATAAGCGTACTAATTGTAGATTAAGGCTATGGCTAGGCAAAAGCAGCGCCTTGTAAAATTATCACGAAAAATGAACTAGAGACTGGAATTATTTACCTTTGCTGGTAAATTTACGATGGAAATAAAGTTCCTACTACGGTATAATTGAGTCGTAAAGACGTTTGTGTGAAACGTGGAGCCGGAAAGAGAGGCGACATTGAGATGAGACGCGTGACCTACCGGGTGAATTAGACACCGAGAAACGACTTCATCCTGTGCTCCGGTGCGTTTTGCGTGTCGCAATTGCGTTGGCAGCTAAAAGTCCTCGCGCGGCTTCTTCATGTCGCGTGTATCTGCGATATTCGCTCTCTAGCAGTGGAATCGCACGTGCCAAGGACTGTCGCCCTCTTCCTCCAAATCGTATCTCTAATTGTTCTGGGTAATTTGAACATCGAGTTCACTCCGCGGCTTTAGCCAGCTGATTTTTACGTTCTCGTGGGGTACGATAATAATCGAGGATACAATGACACGACAATTATTCATTTTCATCAGCAATTAATACGTTGTTACTATTTATTATGGAATCCCATTTGAGAAGTATCTTATCAGCTTATAGAGAAAATCTTATCAGCTTCGAATTTCTAAAACATTCGAAGGCCTTTCATTTAATAAATTGCATCCCTTATTGTTTATTTTAATAAATCTCCATAATATTATGCGTAGAATAATATAAAATTTATTTAAAAAACGTAAAAGCGTGTAAGTTATACGAACTTCTACATGTATTCCATGTATTTAGGTGATAAAGATCAATAAAGGTCAATAAAAATATTTTATAATATTGAATATGCAAATGTAAGCTGATGTAACAAATGTATTACTGAAGTTATAGATATTTTAATTCTCGAAACTCGCATAGCAAATAAAAACGCAAAAGATGTAATTCAAAGGCAATTCATGCCAAAAAGAAGCACGACGACATTCATTAAAGTCGAAGAATATTCGCGTTTAAAGAAGAACGCACGTTGGCACTAAAAATGTAGGTGCTAAGTGCGTAACATCAAATTCTTTATTTAATCGGCAGCTCTGGTTATGTAATTGTATTTAGCGTCAGATACCAATGATCTGATTTTTCATTTAAATGTAGATTCGTAAAATACTAAGATAAAATCCAAACAATGGCCTTCGTATCGTGATGTATATTAGAAATTATCACCACTTCGCAACGTTTATTTTGAACTACTCAAACCTACGAATGTGCTTCGATTATCAAATGACCTTTGTAATATTAGGTTAGGAATATAGATAATAAACTGTAAATAATAAAAATAAATCATGCACATTCTTTATTATGATTAAATAATTTTAATATTTGCAAATTCAACGGTAAATGAATTGCTTACCACCGATGGTATTTGTCAATTTATTTAACACCAAATCAAGGTTCTTACTATACAATAAATAGTACAATAGATTAGGGATATTAAATACGTAAAGACCTCGTTAATTTAAAATAAACTTTTAATATTTGTTAACACGAATAATATGATTGACAGTGGTTATTTGATTTTGATATAATAATAATTACGTCACAATACATTTGAATAAAGCAATATATAAAACGTTAAATTTTTCGATAAAATTAGTAATTCCTTTAATTATAAAGATTCTTCGATTTTAACATTAATTTGAGGCATATTTAATAATTAATGATTTAGGAGAAAGATTGATTGACTTTTAAAAACTCGTCGAACTAGATTATTACATGAATTATGTATTATTGAATAATATTACGATTTAGACAAATATTGCAATAAAATTAGTTTGCGTTAAATTTCAATTATTACTTTTATTACTTTTTATTATTTCATCGCTTTTAAATTAAATATATCGGCGAATTGAATTTAGCTATCAGATTGTAATTAATTGTAATAATTGTAATAAGCACTACTAAATCAAGGTACTAAAAGGTATAAATATAATACTTTTTTTTTTTTTTTTTTTTTTTTTTTTTTTTGGTTTAATATAGAGTAAAAAACAGTCTGATTTAATTAAATCTGCGTAAATACGTAGATTTAAATCAGAATATTGGTTAACAGCCAGAAAGATATTTATAAATGAAAAAGTACGCATACCCTATCAATCACAGACACAAATCACTAAAATGCAATAAATGGCTTATTATTTTAGTATAAATTATTATAATGATTGTATGATGAAGAATTGTTAACAGTTGATTTTTAAATAAAGCTATTTATACATTTAAACTTGTATTCATTGCATTATAATTTCAATAAAAGTGCTGTAGAATGTAGAAACAAAAACAAAAAACAAAAAAAAAAAGAACAAAAATTAATAATAGAAATGATATTTTATTTCGATACATCATTTTTAATTAGTAATTAATTGATATAAATATAAAATATAATAGAAAAAGATTTGTGAATGAAATTTTGAAAATGTTAAGTTAAGATATGATCGTTCCTCATGCAGTCTATTAATCTCTTTATGTATTTTGATAAATAAAATTTATAATAAAAAAATTGCAAACGTTGAAAAAATAAACAATTATGATGGTTATTTAAATATAAAATTGATTTAATTAAATTATGTAATGAATGGTTCTAATGTAGTGTAAAATTGTTATTGAATGAAATTAAAGCGAAAGTCTTGCTCGTAAGATGTCATTTATGTTTATCATTTTAATTGAAATAAAATAAAATACTAAATGAAAATATTTTTGTTATAATATTTAGATGAAATATGATAAATTTGTATAAAATCTGGTCTTGCTTAATTTTTTTTCTGTATCAGCTTTACATGTTTGTAATATTTAGAAAGGTTATATATACATTTTCCGTTTTACATGAAGTTTATATTTACCAAAGGTCATGAACAATTATACGATAATATCTGGATATCCATAAAATTATCGTAGCGCGGCTACGAATAGGCATTTACAATTGACAATTTGCATTAAAATTTTACATATAAAATATTTTTCGTTTTGATTGAGAATTTTTCTCCTCTCCCTCGTTCAAAAATATTAAAAATATAAAATTTATAACGAATTTATCGAACTAGGATGGGGAATGTATATTCTGTAATGAAATATTCATATCCTGTCAGCAAATACTTTTTTTCTGAATATAAATAAAGGCATTATCATATTTAATCGATTGAATTTCTTCTTTTAATTACAATAAGTTAAGAATTTAAGATAAGAAAAAGTATATGTTAATTCGTCATTGAAAAAAGATATAAGAGGCAAACGTGACATAAAAATGGAAGAAAAAAATTGGACGATCATCCAATGAGAGCCAACGCGAGATCGGCTCTTGGCTCTAACAAAAAACCAAAAGCACAACGAATTAATCTTGTCAAGGTCGTGCGGAAACGCGCAAGTTTCTTCACCTCACTGGAATAAGAAGTGGACGAGGGAAAAAGTCGTTCCATATCCCCCCACCCCCTTCTCTCTCTCAGAGTGCCGACAGTGTGCAGCGTAAGTTTCGCGCGGATAACGATCGAGCGAATCATGAAAGGAAAAAGCGCATCGGCGAGAGGGTGGGGGTGGAAAGGGGAGTAGAAAGAAGGGCGGACCAAGACGCGGTGGCTTTATTCGCAGCGCCTATAAGAGGACGCTGACCCGTCGTTGTCATCCAAATGGAATCACGTAAGAACTGCAGCAAGCACGCGGTCGCTCAGTGATGAAGGATTGGCGGGAGGGGGAGGGGGCAAAGTGGTAAGCGCAAAGAGGGACGCACTTATTTATTATTGCCCCGTCAAGAGTCAATAGCCCAACATTCCGCGAGAGTCTCTTGGGGCCGATGCTGTCAAGGTGGGTCTTTTCTGCTCTCTTTTTTTTACTCTCCTCGTGCTCACGCGTTTTCCTTGGCATGACATTGTCCTTGCGAGCAAGGTGTGGCTTCTAAAATGTTGCTATGATGGACCAACCTAAGCTCCAATTACATTTAAGACCTTTTCATTTGCGCGTATTTGTGACGTCTTTGTAATCCAATTGGTACCCTCTATGACGTTGTTGGTAATCGTGGCTATCGTCGTTCGTCCTTATAATCGTCACACTTAATATAATCCGTATAATCGTTATTATCATTATAATCATTTACATAGTTTATTATGAAACCTCGAGGGGTTAAGTTAATTAAAAATGAAATGCAATTATTTGTTTGTATCCAAAATTACGCGTCGTAATAAAATATCATTAAAATAAATTCATGGTTTAAATGAGAAAATGCGAGCAAATCCTTCTACTTGGTGTTTAACTAATCAACTGTTAAAAAATTAGGGAATAGTGAAAATAAAAAAAATTTGGTTTTATAGGGACGAATGAAAATAGCGATTATTTCTCAATAGTGTAGACCAGCCTACGAGGAGTTATCGATTCACAAATGAATCGATTTTAAAAATCTAGCCACTTGCTGAATTTAGCCATAAATTATAATAATCATTATTGTTTAATTGTTCAATCCGATGTCCGGATGTCAGATAAGGCCTTGAAAGTAGTGGTATTATTGTGATTGAGAGATCGGGCATTATTAACTATCTTGCCAGAAGACTCGATTTGATCTTTGTTGCCGGTCGCATTTGTAAACGGCTGGATCGCGGGAAAATTATGAAGGATGCGATGGAGAATGGCCTTAAACCTATGTCCGACGAGTATCCAATATTTCTCTTTCACTTTCTCGGCTCACAAGCAAATTGAGGTCGAATGAACGACGAGGAAGGTGCGCATGGAAAATGAAAGGATAGTTGGAGACGATCTCGGGAGTGCTCTAGATAAAACGTGCCTCCACCCTGTACACTCGGTGGTACTATGGCTTACTCACGTGGGTGGATGCACCATGTTGAGAAGCTCGGAAGGCGATGTTGGCACTCTCCTGACGGTGAGCCTCCTGCCGTCGGACGAACCCATCCCGATGGAGGCTAGAGAGCGAATCGACACGGAGTCCGGGGGGTAGGGCCTCGTGGACATGCCGTGGCCGTTCTCCGGGAACAGGATCGAGCCCCAGCTGTTGCACGCGTTCGGTGGATACAACTGCTGCAACTGCTGTTGATGTTGCTGTGAAAAATATGATTTCGAGAGTGTTACACACGCGGCCGTTTCTCGACGCGATTCCTTCGGACTCCCACTCGTACGTTGGAGCTGAGCGCGCGCGCGCGCGCGCGCGCTAGCCCTCGATCCAACGGCTTTGGCTTGGGTAGGCGAGCCGAATTATTAAAAAAAAAAAAAAAAAAAAAAAAAGAAAAAAAGAAAAAGAAGAAGAAGAAAAAGGACCGAACTACCGGACTGGCCGAGGAACGATAATTCGAACGACCGAGCGTACTTTCAGGCATTATTTTCCTTGACAAGGGCTTTCGTCACTCCATTATTTCTATTGACTGACGACGAATAAGCGCGGCATTTTCTCAAATACGTTCCACTGTATTTGGATCTCTTCTTCGGACTCGTAAATCTATGTTTAATAACGTGATATTAGGTGGCCGACAGACATTAACGAAATTGTGAAAATAATGTCGACGAGTGTTTAGGAAATATATTCGACTGCAAAAATTGTTATCGCACTGACACGCATAACATACAAAGCCATCTAAATATATTTTGTCTATAAAAAGAATCTTACTTTCGAAGTTTTCACGATTTGAGACTTTTGTACTTGCCCTCGAGTAAGAATAAAACGTACAAACAAAAAAAAAAAAACACAAAAAAAAATACATAAAGTGCGCGAATGGCCTTGACCGACCAAAACGCACAATTTTCTTAATACGTGCTTTATACGAGCGGTAGCGAGACGTTGCGTTTTATTATAGAAAATAAAAAAAGAAAAGAAAAATACAAGCTATATTATCAAATTTTCATATTAAAATTATATATGAAATTATATAAAAGTAGCCGATAAAGTATCGGTACGTGAAATGTCCGCTGTTGTGGAGAACTTTTTACGCAATGACAATTTTTTGACTGTGTGGAACGTGTTATCTAAAGATCATTGTTACTAGAGGATGCAAGGAATATACGATAGAATAACGATTGCGATCATGTACTTAGTATTATCTGGTATTATAATATTGATAAGAAGGTATTGTAAGAAAGAGCAGAAGAATGCCGTCGATTAGAAAATGCAAATTCGGAATAAACATATGCAAGAAATAGTGTAAATATTTAATTAGATATTTGTATGGTATTTACGCGTTATCCACGTAACCTTGGAAAGTCATCCTTTTGTATTTTTCACTGTCGCGAGACGAACTTTTAAGCAAGTTGATAACACTAGTTTTTAAAATATAACGGATAACGAAGCCATGAAAAACACGTCGGATACAATAGTTTCATATTAAAAATTTTACAATAATTTTGCAATCATAAGTATTGGCTTTGAATTTTCTCAAGCTCGAAGTTTTTATGGTAATTTTGAAAATTTTGTAATCTTGTAACATCAAGATGTCGATAAATGTTATGCAATAATTAATGTAATCCTATTGTTTTGCAGCGTTCTTAGTTTTATCTATTTCTATGGATATAATACCAATATACAAAAAAAAAAAGCTAACGAATAACATTATTTTTATTGCTTCAATTACGGCGATGAATATAATAATTAATTAGAAATTATGTACAATTCTACGTGCGCATTGTTCCAACTATTTATAATATTAAGAGCTATGCAATCACAAACAAATAAAGTTTTCAAGCTACTACAGATAATAATATTTTTTCTTTATAAGCTTTTAATATATTGCCAAACTAACATCCTGTATAATTTGATTAATTATATTATGCCTAGAAAACATTTGTCTAAATAAATGAAATATGTACATGAAAATGTTAGTTATTAAATTTGATGAAAGAATATCATAAAGTTAATGGTATAAAAATAGATCAAAGAATTACTTCGTTGAATTTTATGCGATTAAAATAATATTTATCAATCGTTAATCAAATTTATTAAATATAGAGACGCAAAGTTTGCGTAATTGTGCGTAAACTTATAAAAATAATTGTAAAGCATTTTTTAAGTAAAGTAATTAATCAATCAATAGGACAACAGCTTATAAACAATTTGTTCTATGTCAAAACTGCCATAATTGTACGCCATTTCGATGCCATTAACGCGATTAATTATACATACTTAGTTTATCTGTTTATTTGTATTGATATGCACTTGGTATATAAATTCATTAAAAATTAAAATGGATTAAAAATAAATTACATATATTTTGATAGCGATACACGTTTTCATGATTGTTCATAATTGATTTTTCAAAAGTAAAATGAAAGTTAATCTAACGTTGGGATTACAATTTTCCAAAATAACGTTAAAACTGCTTTATTATAGATCCGGTGCAGCTATTTGAACGGGAGATCGTAACATTATTAAATTATAGAAAAATAGCTTCAAGCTCATAATGTAAGTATTTTGCAAAAGTTAACACAACCGTAATCAGTCCACTTGAAGTATAGTGGAGACGAAGTTTTTAAATTTTTCTTGGGACACTTTTTTCTTTTTGTATGAAAACATTGTAAACAATTTCACCAATATTTTCAAAACTTCAATCAACTACACACGCACACCACTCTGTGAGCAGCTATTTAAAAATCTGCGCGTCATTCTACGAAAACGGTACACCAAATGAGGCGGCAAATTCAAATTATAATGCAAGCTTCTCACTTCCTTTGATTGGCTAAATCAATATTTCTTTTTAGATGTAATGTTCTATGTGAAATTTAATATCATCACGCGTAATGCCATTTCTTTCGCATTGTTAATGACGTTAAATAAATGTAGTTAATAAAAAAATTAAGCTATTGCTCTCAATGTTATTTGTTGGAAATATATGTGTATATATATGTAAATTTCTTTATATTCTCTTAAAAAAAAAAAAAAAAATAAAAAAAAATCGAATGTATGACTTTAGCTATACCTGTAAAAGATCGAGCTTAAGGTGATAAGAATAAAGAAAAATATAGAAAAAAATTAAGTTCCAAAGTTCCATACACGGGCTCCTACATTAATTCGTTATTTGCTAACATTTTCAGTATTGAAATTAAACTTGAATTACCGTACTATTGAAACAATAATTGCAACAGCAACAAATCAAGTCGGCACGTTAAAAGCATTATATCGACAATAGAATCTCTTAATAAATTTAGACTTGTTGTATGATAGGCCAATCGACTGAATGACATATAGCGCTAATTGTTAAATTTTGCCAACACTCGTTAAAACTCATAGCGACGTACGCTCGCTTGACTGCGTTACAAAATAATATCTGGCCGCATAGGCCACTTTAGAACCAAATATACCAATATATTCCTCGTCCCCGCCCCACCCCCAACCGTCAATATGGCCAAGAAGATGCTTCCTAATCAACAATTCAGCTCGTCAATTTGACAATGCATCGCGACATTATTCCAATACTATTTAAGAATTGCTTATTTCTTAGTGATAAGTTGCCATGCATGATAAATCGACGTATCGGACATTAGAGAAGCGATCGTTAATCATCGTACTCGGAAAGCCCAATAATTGAAGGATGATGGGCAAAAGTCCCGCGCCACGAATAATATATCGATTAAGCTCTCGATTAATTGAAATATAACTGAAATGCCATTACTCGTGCACGCGTGGTCGAGCGTAGCTTGGTGGCGAACCTCCACGGTCCGACGCAGCGTTCGAAACTACCCGACGTGCCGGCTCAAATTAACAGGTCGAGTCCTCCACGAGAGATTGCGCGCGCGCGCGCGCGCGCAACAACAATGTCACCTTCTTCCGCGCGTTACCGCTCGCCCCGCTCCACACAGTCGACTAGACGAGACACGCGCGCTAGAGATCGAGCGTGTGGTGGATGTGGGTATGGAGAAATAAATAAATAAGGGGCAAAAGTACTAACGGGGGGGGGGGGGGGGGGGGGGGGGGGGGGGGGGAGAGGCTAGTACCGGGCAGCAGTGGTGCTCGTCGCTGGTGGAGCTGGACTTGAGCGAGCGCATGCTGGGATGTCTGTTGCAGTGTCTCGTTTGCTGGGCCCTGAGCTGACGGCCGGTGCTCGGTCGCTGCGTAGGTGGCGATTTGTCCCGGAAGCTATCCGCGCTGCCGTGGAGGCTGCCGCCGCGACTCGTCGCTGAGCAGGGACCCAGGAGTCGGCCGCGTTCCTCGTACGGCGAGTCCGAGTCGTTGTCCAGGTGGCTGCACGAGCACGACCACAATGGGTTAGTCGTGAGTACTCGATTTCGAGCGGCTGGGGACTCGAGGGGACGATAGGCCGTGGGATGGTGTATCACTTGGTGTGGTTGGTGGAGAGAGGGAGAGAGGATCGAATCTATTCTTCTTTTAGTGACGAGGAAAAGGGAGAAAACGAAGCGTTTGTTGATGTACTTAGTCGGGAGTTTAATGTACATTAGCGTGGCTACTTGACGGTGCTTGACAGACTTGCTCAAGTTGCAGGATTTGTTGGGTGCTTACGGGATTCTCATGCGTGGAATATAAGGATATATGAGGTTGGGTGTGTGGCATTTGATGATAAATTTCGATTTATACGCTGATCTTTGGTTATAATTTTTAAATTATAATGTGATAATTAGCGTATTATTAGCAAGACCAGCGGAACTTATTATTTGCAAAATTTTATTCTTGATAATACTTGAGTAACTTTAATGAGCGTAAGTCATAATTCTATGTAAATTAAAATATATTGCAACACCGTCATATCATTGTGTTATATTAATAATATAAATCGTATAAGTTAGTTGAATTGAATATTTACATTGATTTGAAAAATTAGTTAAACGAAAAGACAATAACTAATTTATCTTTAGCGCGACATGCCGATAAACTTTTCGATAAAAGCATCTTGTAGAGTATAAAAGGTACAATTATTATTTAAAAGATAATGTTTATAAATTTATAATATAAACAAGACTAACAGAATATCTTGAGAACACATTTAAGGATTTTCTTCCGAATTAATAATAACGAATGGAATTAAGAATGAGACTTAAATTAATGATACAAGCGAGCTGAAATTCAAAAGTGCTTTAAATCTAAATTTTAACGGAGCTGTATTCTTTTTAGCAAAAAAAAAAAAATTGAAAATTACAGTATTTCAGTGATTAAACACTAACTCTACGTAACTTACACACGGTTTGGCTATAAATTATCTCATTATTTGCTATACTTTATTTATAAAAATAGCAGCTTTATTAGTTTTCATCCTAAAATATATTATAGAAGTGCGCGCTGCGTTCAATTACAAATTGTCGGCTAAAATTTTAAAACGATAATATTATTTATTATGAGCCATGTCTCCTGATATTTTTTCATGAAATGGAATTCGTATGACATTTCATTTATTTCTTTATTGTTAAGCCGTACGACGTATAATCACAATTTTCGTATCATTAATAGCAGCGATTTAATGAAATTCAGAAAATTGTTAATATCCATAAAGAATAAATGATTTATTTTTTCTAATGTTGCGCTTAATTAATCTAAAAAGACGAGCACGGATGTGATAGAATTATGATCTTTCTCAATATTTAACATTTTTACTTTTTGTAGCTATAAATTTTGATTATATACATATGCGATAAGAGATATAAGAAAAATATTCTTCTATAAATAATTTTATCAAATATTCAAATTTGATTAATGTTAGTTAAAATAAAAAAGAAAAGAAAAAAGATTATAAATCTATTCAGTTGATGTAACTCCTTATAAAGCTAGCATATTGTTACATATTTCATGATCTAGGAATCTATCTAGGAAAGAAAAATTTTGTAGTATAGTTAATAATAATTTTATATTATTCATAGTTTATGATGTAATTACAAAAATGTTGACAATTTATCGATATATTATCTGAACGATATATAACTTATAATAAATATTCCCTTTTCAAAGATTATCAGTTAGATCCATTAATATAAAATCTTTTATAAATAAAAACATTTATATGTTTGATATTATATACAAAATTAAAACTGCAATGGGCAGTCCTAGTTTGGAAATATACGAAAAGTGTATTTACTTTTTATCGCGGTAGCTTTTATTAAAATAATGTATAAAATTAAAGAAAATATTTTTGAAAAATTTTGTTTTCAAACAAATCCGAAGTTTTTTCTTTTTTTTTTTTTTATATTATTTAATAAAGATATTATTTTAATCTATTGCACGAACGTGTGTTAGTTGGCTTTAATTAAGTCATAAATTATAAAACAAAATTCCAAACAATTTATTCTTCATTAAATATAGTATTCAATTTTTTTTTTAAATTATTCACTATAATAAGTTCCGATGCGCCTGATGCTATAAACAATACAACTACAAATACATATAAAAAAAAAAAAAAATGTTATTACCTGGTGCAATAATTTTGCCAAGATAATCGTATCAATAATAATTATTCATTTTAAATTCAATAATTACATTGCAATAATAATTACATTATTCGAGTTTATGCACTATATATTTAAAATTTCGAAGCTGATAATAATGCAAAGACTTTGTTAATAGAATATCCGTTACACTATTTAAAATTAACAGTATTTTCATTAACGTTATCAACATTTTTCTCCTGCTAATTAGCTTTTATAAGCAAGAAAGAAATGGATGATTCATGACAGAATGTTTAAAACATTTTTAATGATCATTCGTTATAATTTTCTTCAAACATTATTGAAAATAAGCATTCGAATGCTTTAGCAACTGAACGTTAAAGCACGGAAAACCGTATAAATACTATTAATAGAGATATATAAATAGAAAAACAACACCGCCATTACGCGTAAATCTAAAAAAATGCTCTCTACATTTATTAAGCAAGGAATGGAAAAATTTCCAATTCTATCGGTAAATCTACCTGTTTAAACAATCGTTGTTTAAGTCATCGGAACTCTCCTCCTCCATCATCGTGCTCATTTTGCGCAATTGGCTATTGGATTTAGCCGCGACCTGTGCCAGACTCTTGCTCGTGTGCGTACCCTGGGAATTCTGGGCATTATGATGGGCAGTCTGATGATGCTGATGGTGATGGGACTTGGGCGGGTGACCGTCGCCGTGGACGGCTGAAGGCTTGGACGTCGTGGACTCGGCGGGCGACGTCGCGGCGATGACGGGCTGATCGACGACGACGACGCCGGGATTTTTCGTTACCGACTCTGCCTTATCGCTCGGCGTGGCGAATGGTTCCATGATGTCATGACGCGCCGTCGCCTGACCTCGCAACAGATACAATTTTTTCAAATTTTTAATTATGGTAATATCCTGCCAATTACTTGACTTAGTCGGGCTCAAGAAAGCTCGTTCGCTTCGATGAATATAAAATTGGTAAGTAGTTGGTTGGATGTATTTATAAAGTGGCTTTCTATTGAGGAAAAGCAGGTATGTGAGGAAAGAGAGTATGATTAATGAAGCTTTGACGTGGTATTTGAAATAGGCTGATGTCGTTAATTAGCCATCTTCGCGTTTAATACGACTGAATAACTAATGGCTTTATGAACCGAAGAAGATTTAACATTTTATCATCCACTTCCATTGGTAATAATTTGTATAATACATGTGTAACGTTCATTGTAACACACGATATGCGTATATTTTCTAAATGTATATAAAGTGCCACATCATTGTTTATTTAGTTTTGTAGTGGATGAAAAAAGTCATTTAAAGAAAAAAATATGCATTATAAAATATATTTTAAAGATTATAAATAAATCATTATTGAATAAATTTCAAATTATTGTGAAAACTTATTTTTCAGTGAGAATGGAGACGATAGCAAGACCGTTGAAACAATAATTCCCATGTCAAATAATAACATTAAAAAAGATAAACTGAATAATATTTCAGAATAATGTGTTTTGAAAGGATTGTTTCTACTTACTAGAAATGAAGGTGACATAAAGTAAGGGACATGTATGTAAATGAGAATGTTAACAATATTAATTTAATAATATACCGTTTATCTAAGTCATTAAAGTCTAAATAGTAATTATTAAAAGACTTTTAATCTACTTTATTTCATATAAATTTTTTCTCCATAATAAAGTATGTAACTTTAAACTATGTCACACGTACAAAGATTTGAATAAAATTTCTTACAAGCTTGATTAGAAGAATTTAGATATTAACTTTATCAAATATTACAAAAAGATAAATTTCTTTGCTTCCCTTTCTCAATAAAAATTCTATTAATCTCGCTTACGTGACAAAGACGCATACGTAAAATCTATTTAACACTTTTCAAAAAATATCTGAATATTTCACAAATATAGTTTTTTAAAGATCTTGTAATTTTTTTTTCTATGTTATAATAGCTAATTTATTTACACGTAAGCATTTAAATTTAGATATATTGATCTAAAATAATTTTTACACATAAATTATTTTTCATTTGTTTAAATTATTGAACATAACTTAGATTATCTATAACTTGGGTCACTAAAAAAATTATGAATTACTTATATATTTATCTGGTTTTCACAATAAAAGCATTATTGCTGATTTCAATATTTTTACTTATTCTTAAACAAGATTATTTAATACAAATAATAAACTATTTTTGCAATACATTTCTGTAAAAATTTAATGGCTTTGTTATTATTCCACACATTCAAATAAAGCATTAAATTTGTTTCTATTCATAATTTTAATTTTTATAGCTTAAACTCTGAAAATAACTTAGACATTTACTTGTCAAATAGTTCTAATTTACTTAATAATATACAGTGTATATACTATAATAGTTATATCTATTCTCTAGGAAAAACTAGATATTTTGAGAGTATAAAGTACTTTTTTAATACTCGTAGTAGTTTTCAGTTTAAAAATATTATTTGCTACTCTACTTACGAAAAATTAAGAATTTTTCTTTGCAAATAAGTTAAAAATTTTTATGCAATTTTTATATAATATATGGATTAATTGGGCTGATAACTTTTAACATAAAATTAACAACACACGCATTTATTTTAAAATTCTCTAACGAAATATGAATTTTTTTCTTTTAATAATTTAAAATATATTAACTATTAATAGCATAAATTTATATTTAAACATTAAACGATTAGTACAAATGAATTTTACAGTTAGAATTGTTACTATAAAGAAACTATCGTAATACTGAATTTTTTTTTAAATGATTTTGGATAAGCCATGATGAATATTGAAAATAAATTATTTCTAAATATTTAGATGAGTATTTTTATATTCACATCAAATAATATAAATAAAAAATAAATAAAATATTAATTACCAATTACTCTACCGTTACTTTTCTTAAATTGATAATCTTTGCTGTTATATATATTTTTATAATATAGATTATAATATATATATATATATATATATATATATATATATATATATATATAATATAGAAATTATAATATAATTTCATAATATCAATATATTTCATACAAACTATTAAATAATAGGCTTATTAGTAGTAAATTATACAAGTAATAATAATACACCTTTTTTTATTACTAAACTCTAAAATAAATTGTGAATGTAAAGTAGTTTTGACATACAAGATTATTATTCATCAAATTATATAAATATTATTGATATGATGATAATGATACTAGAGATGGCAACTAGAGATTTTAAAATTACAATAATCTTTATTTCTTTGTAATTATTTTCACGATATTTGTGTAGGAAATTAGTTATTAAGCTAAAATTAGGCGATTGAGTAATATGAAAAGTTAGTTCGGTATCTTAAATATTGCAGAAAATATCATTAATATTTAAATTTCATTCAAATTATAAAGTTTTTATTTTAACAGATGATACGAGATAATATCATAATATATTTCAAAAAAATACTAAAACTAATATAAACGTCGAAGAAATGTGTTTAATACACAGTGAAGAAAAATGCTTCAAAAATACTGCAAAAATAAAATTTTTGAAAGGAGATTATAAAATTAATAGATTTATTTGTCATAATTAATCATTTGATATAACTTTTCTATCATATATTTATAAACGCAAATTCTCGATGAATGGAGAATTAAATAAACATTATCATAAGTGTGTCAGGAAAAGCGATTACTCACCGATCTTCTGACTATCGATTAGATTTATTGATCCGATCAGATCATTATGTCGTATAGCTTAATACGTTGATCGACGTTTGTTTTATAAGACTATTAAAAGAATATTACACGGGAGCAACTTCGTTAGAGTAAATAAAAAATTTTATTAATATATTGAAAGCAAATGTGAAGAAAGACAGTATTTAAACAATAGATCAATTGCCTTGGTTTTATTAAATATATCCTTGATTATTTATTAAAACGACAATATTTACTATTTTTATAATTCATGTTGTAAATTATTAGTTTCTAACTTTATTTTTTAAGTAAAATTGTTTTAAGGTAAGACTATTTTACACAGTATATTTTGTATACTAGTGACTGCATTATTTTCACAATATTCAGTACATAATTTTATTAAATAATATTTCAATGTAATCATAAAGGAATTATATATCAACATTATAATATAATTTATATCTTTCCCTTCATTTTTCATAAATATTTTAATAAATATATTAGGTATTATTAAATTTGTATTAAATTAATTACGATTTTTCAACAGAATATTTTGAAAATATCATACCTATTTATTCCATATCATTCGATTTACGATTTTAGTAAAGTATTCGAGTCTTAATCACTATTATCAATTAATTAATTGAAGAAATAATTTATTACAAATCAATATAACACTTGTGATTGATGATTAAATAATAATATTGTTGCGCTAAAAATATTTTAATTTATTGTTGTATTAAATTGTTTAGTAAAGAAGAGAGCTTAAAAATATTAACTCTCATTAGTTATTTCATTTTATCTAATATAATAAAAGTAAAAAAAATTATTCAATTTATGCATAACTATATACTTTGTTGGAATGATAAACGTTTCTTAAGAGAATTAATTATTATCCATTAATGAATTGATCAATAAATATATAATAGGTAATGATAATAAATTTGTTGTCCAATGTACGATATCAATAATAGGAATAATAATAATATATTTGAAACAATTTTTTAATTTTCATTATTACAATAGATATAAAATATGTACAGTACTATTGAGAAATATATTTGTTCTCTATATTTCTGTTCATTGTTATTAAAGTTCTTAATTATTATTCATTAACTTATTCATAGCTATAAAAGTTCAGTCAATATTTATTATTTCATTTTAAAACGATTATAGCGTAAAAATTGAATAAAAAAAATTGTATATTTCAATAACTGTTGTTATCCAGAAGGAAAATAATATTGTTCAAAACAAATTGATAATTTGATAAATTATTATTAAAATAAAATCAATATTTTAGAAAATGCCGTTTAATATTTTGCCTTAAATATTATATATATATATATATATATATATATGTATATCATTATCAATCGCAAATTATGTCTCGCTTTCATATTATTAGAAAGGATTATATTTGAAATAAGAAATATTTTGAAATTAGTTTTGAGCATTGTCATAAGACATTATTTCAAGCTTAAAACTAGTTTTTACTTTAGTAGTTTGCTTCACTTAAACTTTATAATAAAGTAAACTTGCAATTGACTAGTACATAAAATCATTGTCATTATTTGCATTTAAAATTTGAGTTGAATTTTTCACGAACTAAAAACCACCATATTGCCTTCAAAATATAACTCTAAAAAATTTACTTCATATCACATGTCATGTTATTTTCCATTGTTTCTTGGGTTTTATTGAAGAAAATTCAAATAAATATTAGAGATAAATTCATTTTTATCATTAGAAATTTTTCAAGAATATATTTTTACCATTCTTTTATAATATCTAAGTAAAATATGATTGCTTTAACAAATATTTCTTTATAAATTTATCTTGCTTTTACACAATTGGTATAAAAAATTTCTTATTTTATCAACCGTCTGTTGTTGGGTATTCAGTTTTGGAATTTTTTTTTTAAAATTCTTTTGAACAGTAATAATAATTGTGATTACGTGAAAAACAAATCTTTAAACGAAAATCTCCAGTTTTGTTATAAAATATATTAAAAGCAAATGTTTATGAAATAAGAGACAATAAATGTATATATCTATAAAATTGTAATAATTAAAGATCTATTGACCAAGTTCATTATGCGGCTAATGATATTTACAAGTTGCTGGCAAGTATAAATTTATCAGATTTCAAAATACTTTTTTGATACTTTATATCTTCACAACATTGAACTCATTTTATTCTTATTTTTTCAAAGCTATTTTCTTACTGAATTTATGCCTTTTGTTTCTAAATTAATTTTTTATTTTATATTTCTCTCTCGTTCTATATTCAAATAAATTTCGAAGCAATGGAAATTTATTTTTCAAAATGTTTTTTCGCATTAAACGTTGTTGCTTTAATTTTATGAATTCTCTGTTTGAATATAAGCATTATATTAAATATAACAATATATTAAATATAAATTATTTATTTAGCAACAGGTTTGTAAGAATATAAAATTTAACGGTTTTTTCAATAAAACCAAAATGTAACCGAAAACATTTATATGATTGACGTACACGTAAAAATAAAATATATCGAATTACAAATATATCGTATACAAATAAAATTCTATATATTTTATATATATATATATATAATTTATTTTCTAATTATTTAAGCTTTTAAAAATTCATATTATTCTATACTACAAGCAAGTATTATGATTATTATCATTACGTATTCCTATGTGTAGATAATACAGAACAAAGGTTAGTATTTCTTAGATTTTAAAGAAAAAAAAAAGAAAAGAGTTTTCCGGAAATCTTAGAAGAAATGCTTACCGACATTACATTTAATTTTATGTTATCAATCTTTTATTGAATTACGAAGCATATATAATTACACC